CAACAGTCGCGTGTTGGCCAAGGATACTGCGAGGGTCACCCGGTCCCCTTTGCAAACTCGAACTCGCGACCTCCGGATTACAAGGCAGACGTGTGATCTTTTAGGCCACGAGTCAGCTCTTATTCACGTGTCAAACTAGAGACACGGACAAGCTACTATGGTGTTTTTCCTCGACCTAAAAGCCGCCCTTAACTCTGTTGTTAGAAGCAGTTTGTGGCAATGCTTCTCCGTGAAGGGCGTGCTAGGGAAACTGCTTTCCTTTCTCAAGTCCAACTACTGTGACAGTCGAGGCCTTGCAGGCATCTACTGAAGTTGTCTCCTGAGTTCTCCACGGCAAGTGGGCTTTGTCAGGGTTATTCTGTATTTTCTTATCTCTTCAACTGTGCATGTGCTTTGCACCTTCAAAGTGCAACGTACTGTTGCAGCATTGAGTCGATCTGCCACCGGTTCCAGCTATCACCGAACAGCCACTGGAAGTGTTCGATTGGTTCACTTAGTAGTTGTGTGGTCGCATCACTGAGGAGGTCATTTCGCGTATCAGCAGGGCCTGTATGGCATTTCAGAGGCCCAAGGATACATGGAAACGCTGGGATCTCAACATGTTAGTGAGGGGTAAGGTTTAAAGCGCTGTATTGAAGTCGATGTTACCGTACGGATCAGGGACCCGGCGAATTGGAGCGATTGGCCACATTTGATTACCGGTGCTTGCGGGGTGTTACTCACATCTGGCTGGAACACCGGGTGAGCGTCGCTGATGTTCTCCAGATAGGTTTTAACAAGGAACCTGGTGCCTCATTGGAATGTTTGCTGATACTTAACTGCTTCTGTTGGCTAGCTCAGGTCATCCGTGTGCCCGTTTACCGGCTTCCTCGGCGTACCTTATACGTCGTCACTGCACTAGGTCGAAACCGCTCGGCGGCGAGTCGATGACGTGACATAAATGCATGCAGGAATTGGCTAAGAGACTTGACAAAGCGGGTACCTGCCGTTTTCCTGGGTGTTGACCTCGTATGGTCATGATGTGGTGCAGTCACGCAGTCACTGGCACCTCCACATTTGGTTTCTTGTATCTCGCTGTTAATGTTCATTCCACTTCATTTCATTTTTACATTCTATTAGTTTTCTAACCATTATTATTTATTGTTAATTTGGCGAGGTAAGTGGTGGCAACTAGATCAGCCGCCACACTTTACGTAATTCAAGCTCATCTCAGTTGGGATGTAAAGCGAGCGCCACGTCATCCTTGACGATGGAGGAACGCAACTATTAGCTGTTTTCCTATCACCCACCAAGGTGCAAGTCTGTCTGCGCCTGCTTATCATCTGATGCCATCCCAGAGGACATTATCTCTTCTATGCCGGTTTCAAACCCATCTTATCAGGGTTTTCTCGACTTTAGCTGGCCTTTTGGTGGGTCAGGCCATCAAGTCAAAATCTCCTGGTGATCTTCTGAACAAATTACTGGCACAGTCGCTGAAATGTTTTCAACCCCCAGCTAACGTGTGTAATGATGATCATTGCCTATGAACCAAAGGACGGCGGTAGGTGCACTTTACAATTGGTGACCGAAGACTAATACCTAGCACCAAGACCCCACCTTTTCAAGCTCTGTTCCTCATCAACCAGCAGTGTACAACCCTGCATATCACCGCACTGAAGCTGCCACCTCACATGTTGATGAAACGTATGCATTCATTTTATATCAAGCTCGGAGAAGCGATCCACAGGTGAGCAACCAACCCAGGCTATCAGTGTTCCAGATTACTTGGTTATCTGTTGATTAGTTCGCCAAGCTTGATAAATTGGTTGCGTACCTTTCGCTACAATGCGTGGTGGCATCCTCAATACGGTGATGTGCAGTGGGCAGTTTTGCCTCACTTGATGTCTGGAAATAAACTCTTGTGCAGTTTTAGGCCATCTTTGTACTTTGATAACCTACCACCACACTAGATTGCGCAAATCCTCTGGCTGATCACCCGGTGAAATAGTAAAGATTTAAGAAAAAATTGACAGGTGGCCTGATTCGGGCAGTTATATACCGTCTTCGCGAATAGGACTCTCAGAGTCAGCCGCATCAGAGGTTAGAGACCTCCTCTTACTCTGTTCACTAGCGGAGTTAGTGGCGCTTTTTCATCCGATTTGATTCTTGTTGTTGTTGACTTCCCTGGATGAATTTATATTTTTATCCACTCCTCTTTATTTGGTCTTCAAGTGTGGAGCTACTCCCAGGAGAACGACTTCTTGACTTAGAGTATGCTGATGATATTGCCCTAATCTGTGACAGCTCACAAATGTGCCAAGCGACACTGGACAGACTAGCACTAGCTGTCCGTCACTTCGGGCTTTGCTCCACACCCTCGAAGTGCAAAGCGTTCCTCCAAGATTGGTCTAGACCGCCCCCTACGCTGACCCTTGGTGGGGGGATCAGCTAGAAGTCGTTCAAAAATTCAACTACCTGGGAAGTTGTATCAGCGCCCGTGTGATTGAAGATGAGATCACGAACCGTATAGCAAAAGCTCGGGGCGCTTTTGCTAACCTTCGCCACTTATGGCGCCGGCGCGACATCACTCTCACCCTGAAGAGTAGAGTGTACAATGCAGCAGTACGTTCGACCCTAATGTACGGCTGTGAAACCTGGCCGCTTAAAGCAGCGGACCTGAAGAGGCAAGTTACGTTCGACCACCGGTGCCTTCGTGATTTAGCTTACATCTGGTGGGAACACCGCGTGAGCAACGAGCATGTCCGACACCTTGTTTATGGCACAGGTAAGGGAACTGAACCGCTCAGCACCGTTATTTCACGCACCAGGCTCCGATGGCTCAGCCACGTGTTACGCATGCCAGCCCACCGACTCCCGCGACGTGTGTTGTTTGCGGGCCGGTGATGTGGATGGAAGAAGAGGAGAGGTGGCCAAGCGATGACTTGCTCGAGAGGAATGAAGGCCCTCACTTCTGAGCTGGCCTCGGTTGGAGCGTCTCGGCTCCCTGGTTGGGGTCCGAAAGACGATGAACACGTTTGGTTGGACACACTTGCTGATATGGCTAGGAGTCGACCTCAATGGCGTTCGTGCTGTGAGTTTCTTTGTCCCACCCCATCTTTCTTAGCCTCCCCTTCCAACCACGATCTCATTGTTTAACCTTATATAATTTTGCACAGTAATTTTTTTTTCTGCTGCATAGTAGCCGGCAGGTAGCTTACCGGAACGATGCCCATCCGTTACCGGTAGCTCAGCCGGCTTGCCCCAGTTGAATTCTTTTTTTTCTCCTTTTTTCTGTGTATTGCGGCACAGTAGCTGAGGTGTTCCTCACCTCTAGCTAACGTGTATGATGATGATATGATGATGATTATTTGGTATTCCTTGTCTTTGCTGCTTCTTATTATTGTGATGGCTCGGTTCATGGCACTTGGATCTCCAATATTATATACTTAAATAGAAGCATAGGTGAACAAGTGTACCTAGTTCACTTCTAACACCTGAGCGACACTCACACCATTGGTTTTTGTAAGCGAACCTAGTTTGAGATTTCCTACTCGCCATCTGCCATCCGCGATTCAATATTGCCATTTTGATTCGCAACGTCAACAGTCCACTGACAAGCTTAGAAAACAGACCATCTTTCGATCGAAATCACTTATAGACTTTGGAAAAACTTCAAGCTATTTGTCTACTCGACCTGAAACCGGGTATTATCGTGACTTCTGCAGAAACCGTAGATTTCTTAGTGTTGTGTTCGGTTTTCTTACGACCTCTGCATCTTCCCTAGATTTCCATGGTTTTCGTTGACTCTACGTCTGTTTCTAGACTTCTGCAATTATATATATTTATATACTCAGATTTGGATTCTGTATTGAGGATATATTCATGATTCGGGCTTAATCACACTCTGGTGACGAATTGAATCATGAAGCAAGTGCCTTTGGCACAAGTCGAGCACCGTTTTTGCTCATCCTAAAAATCAACCCCTAGAAGATTTCAGTCTATCAAAAATGGACGGTTGATCCACTCCTAGACCCACTCGTCCGAGCATTTTGAAGAATGATCCAATCACCCCGTTCTTTCATCGTTTCCTATACCCCATGAACCTATTTTAAGCCTTGACGTCACGTTTCTCGTCACCATAGTTATCCAACAGGAGTCGGTATTGTTAAAGTCGCCTAGAATCGACGACGTCATTTCATCACTCCCGGGAGATGACAATTCACTGTCGGCTGATCTAGATATTCTTTCAATACTACATCGCACCAGAGAGATGCCCTCGAATTTGAGCCCTCTCTATCTTTATAAATGTTCAGCTGACGTTACGCGAACTTCACCGGGGCCTTATTGCCATAGCTTTCATGCCACTCAATTCCATTCTACCGCGGTGACTGTTCTTCGTGGGAGTTGGACCGATGGAAGCTGGTCTTCACCCTTTCAGCAAATGCATTAATCAAGTAGTCACGTTTTCTAACACACTGCAACAAGCTCGGATGCTCTTTTCCTTTCATCTGTTTGTTATGTGCCCCCCCGTATTGTGTGCTCCAATTTGATCTTCCATGCTCCTAACTGTCACTACTCGGGCAACGTGTGGTTTGAAATTGCCACTCAATTTACGAAGACGGTTGAAAGTAGAAATACTAATGTATACATTCATGTTCTTTGCTTTTTTGGACCGGAACGTTTGCCGTATGACACGAATCCACAACACGTGCTCATAAGATACTGTCAATGCACGATTGGTACTGCTTAGGCGGACACACAGGAAAGCACACTTTGAAATTACAAGCATAACAGTTGTGAAGAGTACACTTCAGCAATTCACTAAACGCAAACACAATTACAAGGTTAGGTCAAACGTGACAGGACAGCGAAAGATGGGAATTTGGTTGATTAGGTCAATACAGCCGCTCGATGTTTCACACGAACCAGTCAGGTTGTAGCCTTCATATGACACGCGAGCCCCCCCCCCCCCACACACACACACGCACACACACCAACCACTGGCGCTTTGGCCGACGTGGGCGACAATGATCACTTTACACCGCAGTCACTGTCCGGCGTAAACAAAATTTCGTTACAGACAAGATAAGATGAACGCTTGTACCAGTGTTCTCTGCTTGCACAACTCCGGCTGCAGTATTCTGAAATGTGCTTTGTACCTTCGCGTTGCAGTGCTCAGCCGACAACTCATCTGTTTCCACCACCGTCGATCAGTAAATCGAAGTGATCGATCTACCTACCTAACACGATACGGTTATATTGATGGACGGTGCCTTTAAATCGGCCGTTGCCTTTTCATTGAACATCACTTTTACTTTATCTCTTGCGGATATCTAACTTATGTAGGGATATTCTGAGAACCCTTTTTGTCCCCAACATCGTCCTACGCTTCATGTTTTGAATATTAGGTCAAGATACCGCACACGATTCGCGATTTGCTACTTTTGCCAAAAGCTTTTGGAACAGCTAAAATCAATTATCGAAAGATGTCCTCGTAAGACTCTACTCTATCGCCTAGAAAAATAGCCAAAGGATTCTGTCAATCAGTTTGCGCTCAGTGCTCAAGAATGTGGGTCCTTTTATTCGAGTGACAGCATTGCACTCTTTTCCCTTTTCTTTACCCATTTATAAATTTTCGCATTTTTAGTGACGTCATTTTACTTCATCCGCAGCTGATACTGTAGTGTAATGAAAATGCACCCATCAGAGTACATACAGCTTACTTTGACTCGATTTGTTTCACATATGGTCAAATCGCCTTAGAAATTTCGTTTGCAAGCTTCTTCCACCTATGAAGCCAGTGTCATCGTAGCGTGTCATTCAGGGATAGAGTGTGTGCAGCGTCGCAGCGCACAAGCATTATTGTATGGATTAGAGACTGCGAATGCCCAATGAAGACACTATAATCTTGATACTCATCGCGTTTACGAATCCATGTTCACATTAGGTGGGAGCGCCACTGGAATTCACCAGTTTGGACTCCGCAGAGTCGTCTGATACCAACCTGGTCGTATGTTGAACTTGTGCCACATAGTACTCCACCCGCTCGCTTACCGGTTACTCTGGCGTTTGCCGTATAGTCGATCGCATGGTATCACCAGACATTACATGAGGAAGTTGATCGAGAAGCTTAGCTAGATTGCTACTTGTCAGAATGCTGGATGAGGTCCTCCGAATAAGTTGCGTCACCATTTAAATTCCTCGCCCGATATGGTTCAGTCTCGACATTGATATTATTAACACTTACTCTCTTCATCCGACAGTTATCTGGCCTTGCCTTCTGACATCCGCTGTTTTTCTTCAAACACCTTTGGTATTCTTCTTGCTTACTACTCTTTTATTATCTCACAGAGGCTTGGGTCATTGTAGCTGAATCAGCTGCACTTTTGGGCTTTGCTCATCTTTGCTTTAATGACTTGGACTGGACCGGAAAGCCCCCTTATTTTACGTGTCATAGAACTTATCTTGCGGTATTAAGCATTCGTTCTTATTTATCTTAACATTTGAGTACGTTTCGACTCACGAACCTCTGAGTCATGTGCCCCGGTGACTACATGGTTCAGTCATCTGACTTCTTTAATCTTGCTCAAGGATGGGAGATCTCGCAGAATCCCTTGGGCGCATGCGACTTGTGGTGATCGCTTAATGGCAGCGCGTCGGTACGGCGTACCGGCGTACTGCTGATTTCGTTTTTAATGCCCCGGTCTCTCTCCATTTTCAGTCTAAAAGGCGTCAATATATTGTATTAAATCCACGAAATCAGAGCCCTGGCTGCTTGGCTTCGGATTATGATCCAATCAATTCATGTCTCTTGAATAACTACACTATCCCACCGTATCATGGTGCACGCAACGATAAGAATTTGATCGGCGAGCCCCGTTTATCGTACCTTTCGTCGAATATTTGGTCAGCAATGCTGCCCGCGATGTGTACCATAGGCCATGTTAGTTGACCGATGAAAACTGCGCATAATGAAACCAGAAAGCATCCTGGTTGTTACACCACTTTTTGTGCTTCCTTGCGTTTGTTGACACTCGCTCTCTGGTACGGTTCTGGATTTCAATAAACTTCAGAAATTCCATTTTATTTTGCTGTACTCTTGTTCCCGCTCACACTAATGTCTGATGTTCTGACATTGAGTCTCCATGCACTTCTGACCGATGGTGGGAAGCTCGATTTTTTATTCTCGTCTTTGCTCATCCTAGATTAATTTCAAAAGACGTAAGCAGATAATATTGTACACTGAAGTTATTAACCAACCAATGAGTTCTCTTTCGTTCTTTATTAGAGGCAAACTTGTGCATCACTTCGGTTGTTGTTACAATTAGATGGCGGCTATATGCTCAATTTTCCTCCAGACACTTTGCTTTCCGTCGATTTCTCATTGGTTTGATCCACAGTAGAGTCCTGTTTTGCCACTTGCCTAGCGGACAGAGTCAAACGCCATTATCCATGTCTTCCCACATCGATTTTAGTTTCAACAAGTTAATTGAAGATAACCGTCCTGAAGATATTTTATCGCTTTGTGAGTTCGCACGCTTCCACGCTCAGGTGTCGCTTGCGGCTGCAAAATCTCTCTCTTTCGAGCAGCGAAGTGATGACCTGGGTGACGACCTAGAACCTCCCATCGTTGGTGTCACCAAACCAGCCGTCGAGGTCAGTTTGCATCACGTCTTACTGGGGCGACCCTACCTGTGCTTGTTTGTTTGATAATTCGGTATGCCGCTCGCCCCACCGGCGTGTCTTGGTCCGTCGCAACTTTATGCTGTTTTAACTATGCTTGTCGCATAGGGTCATTATTCTCATGCATGCTGCGGTCCTTATCACTCAGAATCGTGTGCTCATTGTACGGGTGCAAACTCTTGATTACTATCTAGGGATGCATTCACTTGCCGTATGTTCTTGAATATCACAATCACTGTAGTAACAGCGGCAACATACACATGCATATTAACCTGAACCGAGTGTTCATAGGCGCAAATTCGGCTTTCGATGGTTTACCGTTTCCTCCAAACTAACATTTTCTAATGTACTATTGCCAGTAGTCCTTTCAACATTCATTCATTTAAGGTGTTTCCAGAGTAGCTTTTGCCGTCCGCGGCCTTCACCTTCTATTATCAACCGTGTATGCGTCTATTTCCATAACACTCCTTGACATGTTCAGTCTAATTGAGTTCATTTGTTACCCTTATACAACGCACCTATCATCTGGATGACTCCATGTTCTTCACTCAGAGTGCCTCTTCAATCTATCATCCATTGTTTTTGTTAGATAACAGACGCTACTCGGAATTCTATTCGTGAACTGTTAATCGCATCCAGAGAACAGATTTATCAGACTACATATACACAAATCATGAAACGGTGGTATTTTGAAGAGAAGGTCAGTTTTCTTTTGGATTCGTTGTCTTTTTCTAAGGATCCTTGCATTTCATTGGGCGCTAAGCTCCGGTTATTATGTACAGAATTGCAATCTGTGGTCTCGGCTCCACTGCTTTCAGTCGTCGTTTGTTCTCTCATTCCTTGTACACTATGATTTATTTTCACTCAGAATTATAGCTATGCGGCTGACTGATGTCTCCACTTTAATCTTTCATTGGCACTGACTTATTGCGTTTCCAACACCGGGTATGCCATCTATTAGATAGGTATTCCACAACTTTCCCTACAAGTATCGACCGTTTAGAACACCGGTATTCTACTCAGCTATATCTGCGGCCTCTGACTTGTACTGCATTCTGCTATACCACATCGCCTGGTGCATGTATTGACGTGATTTCCTTCTTGACTGTTTTTGTCTTAGCGAACATACCTCTGTTACGATGGTTTCACACCTCTCTACCCATTTGACTGGTGATTGTCCGAAAGCGTTGATAATTTCGATTTCTAGGCTGCGCCACAGCATTGTCTCACATTTGGCACTCGTCCTTCCTTAGCCCAAAGACAACGACTTCCACTATCATGTTCATGCAATCATCTCATTTCTCGAAAATTCCATTTGTGATGACTACAGTGGTGACCAGCGCTTTTTGTCCGAATCATCCATCTAGTGCTACATTCACGTAGCCATACTCTGTTTCACTCTAGGTATCGTAAAATCATGTGTAACTTAATAAAGCCTGGCTTTTGTGATAAATACAGGCGTTCAAAAGATGTAGAAACCAAAACGTCATTTGAATAAATAGATCTCGCATGTTGTCCCATCAAATCAGTCCTTTAATCATCTCGCTTAATCTCTTGTGCGACGGCTGTTAGCACGTTTAAATACCAGGCATTACCGGATGTTGTTTCTTTGCTTTCATCGTTCATTCACACTAGCCATATTTGTATCGCTGCTGGCGTGTCGCCCGTGTGTACCTATTCGGTCAAATTGCTTGTTTATCCAGCTTATTCTCCTCTTTACCCTGATTCTATGACTTTCCCCATCCATCACCTTCGGGGATCGTTCAGCGATTAAAAAGCGTTTGAGGTCACTCCCATAGGCCCGTATTACGAAGAGCCCTGACTAGTGTTAAATCAGCCAAGGAGCTCTCTATGCACATACCCACTAACCGTCGTTGGAATAAATTTGTCCTGTCAGACACAACGATCTCGCAGTTAGATGAACTTATTGGTCTCTCTTTTCCTCGACTGGTCACGGATGTCCACAGTCGCCTGATAATCCGGAAGTCACCGGTTCGAATCCGTGTGGGTGCGGCGACTTCGCGGTATACCCACCTCCCACCCACGACTGTGAACGGTCGCGTAGTAGCGAAGTGTCAGTGCGCGATGTACCGGCGTACTGTTGGCTCCTCTCAACGATGTCCATTTGGCGTCGTTTGTACTTGCCCAGAGTAGCTGGTGCATGTATTCGAACTGCTGCAAAATCCGTCCTCCTAACGTTGTTTATTCGGTTGCATACTGTCCCCGCTCATTTGGTGGTACGCGGGTTTTTCCTGTGACAGTACAACTGATTCGATTCAGTTTGCTCCATCTTTCTGCTTGAGACATCAGAGCGAGTCATTGTTTCTCTTTACACTGACACGAGCGACTTTTGCATATCTACCGCTTCTTACTGTGAATTTTGTGTTAATACCTCCATTCTAGATTCGACGTCCCTACTTTCACGTGAAACCCCTTGAGGAAGTTCAGTTAACCAATTGGGCAGAATATCTGAGCTTCGAAGAAAACGAGGCTGCCGTCATCTGCTCTGCTGTTATGGAAGACGCAAAGGCCTCAAAACCCGAGATAACAGAAGAGGAACTAGACGCAATCTTATCGTCGTCAGAGCTAGTCAGATTAGCGAAGCGTCGGGTTATTATCCTTTACGAGCGGTGCTTGATTCCATGTGCCTTATACGAGAATTTTTGGATCCGTTACGCCCGGTATCTGGAGGTAATTGTGTAGCATCTTCTTTATGGTTATATTCATGGACCAAGCGATAACATCCTTCCTTCAACACTCACCTCACATCTGTTATGTCTTAGATCACTGAACGTAACATCCCCGCGGCTCGCGAAGTGTGGCGGAGAGCTTGCACTATCCACCTTAAGTACAAGCCAACAATTCATTGGCATTGGGGCTGTTTTGAGGACCGCTATCCATCTGATTTGGACAACCCTCCAACTTTTCCCGTCAAAACTTGCCTACAGATCCTTACGGAGTTGGAGGAGCGTTTAACCGACAGTGCTCTTGTATGTTGTCGTCGAGCGGACGCTATGCGTCGTGCCAAAAAGCCGGTGAGTATTTTTACACTTGCATCGCCTTCGTCAGCTTAATAACCCAGTTTTCTCCCACGTATATATATATATATATATATATATATATATATATATATATATATAATTAAAGTTTTACCAAAGCACACGTATCTAGGATATGAACTCTCCAATCCGTAAGTAATACCAGACAGATGCACGTTTTCTCACTTGTGAATGCCACTTGTCTGTTACCCCGTCACATCTGCCTCGAATAGGGCCGGCAGAGCATTCGCGGCTTTTGCTTATGTAACTTATACGCTTTAAGTTTACACTCTTTGGTTCGCACTCTTCCTGGTGGTTATTTTACTTACTTTATTTTGGTCATTTGGTTTGATTTCACCTCTCACCACCTTTCTGTTCTGTTGCATCCGTTTTCACAGCTGTTCGATATCATTGCTTGTCTGCGTAGCGGAATAAATCGTCTTCGTTATTTGTCTGAGGAACAAAGTAAGCTCGCCAAATCGCTTTCCGGGCCCACTGCTTCGCGAACTGTTGCACAGGCCATTGCAACATCGGCCCAAGCACGCGCCGGAGCCGGCGTGCTTGCTGGTCGATTGGCTCGCATGTTGCATCGTGACGAATTGTTCAAAGACGGTCTGCAAAAGTGGATGCTCTTGCTGCACACTGTTCACGAAGAAAGTGAGGACGCTGTGGAAGAATCGGCGCCACATGATTCTGAGATGCAAAAGGAGGATGACGATGACATCAAAGTTGATCAAGTGGAGAAAGGAACCGACCAAGTGTCATCCGCAGTTGAGGGTGACAATATGGATGCGCAACAGAAAGTGGAAGCAGCGGACAGCCATGATGAAGCAATGGAGAGTGGTGATGAAGAAAGGGACGAGGCGGAAGATAAAGTGACGAGCGATGACGAAGCGATCGATTCCGATTCTGCTGCGTCCATGGATGACGGTGATGAGATGGATGCCAGCGACAACGAATACCACCGAAGCGATAGGAAGTCAAGTGGTTCCGATCAGATGGCGGATGAAGAAAATGTCCCTCCAGTTTTGCCTGTATCCCAAGTTAAGACAGGTTTGAAACGTCCACGAGAAGAAGCAAAACGAAAGAAACGTGAACGAAAAAGCAAGAAGGTGAAAACGGAAAAGAACGAGGATGGCCATGAGGAAGATGAGGCTGAACGGGCTAGAAGAGAAGAGGAAGAACGTGTGCAGAGGGAAAAGGAATTGGCTGCGGAAGAAGAGGAACGGATCCGAACCATTTTAGATAAAAGACAGCGACTGATCCATTTGCATGCACCTCCCGTTGAGTCTCTCACAGAAGAAGATAAGCAACTCCTATCCTCCGAGGAAGCCGCTATCCTCGTTTTAAAAGAAGCCATTGAGTATGATCCTGTGAGTCTGTTATTATTGGCACTGTCATTATTGGCACCACTCGTGCACTCAGCTGATTCACCAGTTTCGCCCTATATATATTTCCATTCTTAGCAACATACGACGATGTTATCGAGCAGATTACTTACACGCGTTCTAGGATCTATATTTTGTCCCTTCGTTTCTCTTCTTAGTGCGCTGTACTCACCAGAGCATTACCAGCTTATACGAATTCGTGCAGCACCTAAACATGGCGCTTGTACTCAGTTTCGCTTAAGGATTCCTTCCAACTAAAATCCTGAGTACTGGATTGCAATGGCACGATTTTGCTATCCCATATTGCTTATCTTGGGTGGAATATTGAGATTAAGAATGCCGCTTGATTCATGTCACACGCTTCCCTCGTCTAATCGCTTACTTCCTACCACAGTCTTCTTTTTTATGCCATGCGTACTCTGTGGCTAGGGTACTATCGGCACGTTTTTATCTTCGCGCGTTCTGTGTTTCAACTTCACTGTGCATATCTTGATTTATAGTTGCATTGGTTGGTGAGATATCCTCTTACACACACACCCCTCTTGCCATTCACAGAGGAACGAACGTTTGTATGCTCAGTTGCTGGACATTGTTTATCAGCGGCATCCGGTTGACTTGGAAGGGTTCATCGAAATGACCAACTTTGCTGCCATCGACTCTGTTCTGCCTGCCACGGTGAAGCTGGCTTTCTGTCAACGAAAGTTACAATTCTTGGAGGAGTTCGATTCAGATATGAGCAGGTTCGTGTTCCGCCCGGCCTTTCCTTACTTGCTACATTATTCCCCTTCGTGTCACTGTCGTTTTTATGTATTGGGACAATACTTCTGCTCCCTTGGTATCAATATACCTCACCATATCAGTCTAATGATTCGCTGAAATTGCGGTAATTCAGTCACTTCTCCTCAGTCATTTAGAGTGGCGCAGGTTAAATTTCCTTTTTGGCGTTGAGCCTAGCGCATCTTGACACATGCTTCACACAATACACTCATTTTGAATTGCAGACTACATGTGGCGTACGAAGAGTTTTTGCATCTTTGCCAAGCTGTTAACAACGGTGTTGCTGCGGCTGCTGCTGCTCGAGGCAACAGCCGTTTTACTACGAGTTATCCTCTACCAGATCTTTTGAACTTACCATCAGCATCTGCCAGAATCAATGCGGTGGTAGCTGCAGGCTCGGGAGACACTTTGGTATCGGCCGGACCGGTTACACGTCAACCCTGCTTAACTACCGACCAATCGGTTTTGGATGCTGCGGCGTCTGTTGGCACTCCAGCCCCGGATCCATCGACGTCGGCAGGCTATTTCACTGCGGGCGCCTATGAGCCTTTGGCATCAGCTTTAGGCGCAGTTGGCGGTCTTCCTCCACCTGTCCCCACCAATATACCAGTGGTAAGAGTACCATGTTGATTGTGATAAGTATGCACTTCTGAATTGCCAGTTTGACACTTGGTCACTTTATGCGCAAATTTTTCTTATTATTTCGATCATTTCCCCATCATGCTGTGTCCAACTTCAGCCGTAAAACGTGCACCAATTAACATAACTTTCTATCATTTGGTTACTTGCGTCAGGCCAAACTTTCCGGGCGGTCAGTTTTACCTGCTTGCCCTTGTATTCGATTCCTTTTTCGGTCATCGCGATGACAACGGAGGCGACTTGGTACTTGCAGCATGGCCTCGTCGATTCAGTTCGGCTAAACAACCGTGATCCGGTATATGGTGGATTCCATTGTCATGACTCCAGTCCCCACCGATAGGGATGACGATCGACAACCGCCACTTTTTTAGGCAGTTCTTCAGTGTTCCATCTAGCGTCAAACAGGGTGGCCACATCGGTCCTCAAACCGTAGCCTAGAGGTAACGAGCATGTCTCGCAATCTTGCGGCGCGGGTTCGAGCCTGCGTAGGGGCAGGGCGACCCTCGTAGTATCCTTAGCCCGCGTGCGACCGATGCTGGTTGCACGGCAGCGAAGCGTCGGTACTGCGTACTGGCGTACTGCTGAGGCCTCAAACCTTATTTCTTACCTCTCAGTAACGATGGAGGAACGTTGTTAAGGTGAGAATATGCGTTCCGTTTCAACTGGTTCAAGTGATCCATCATTCGATGACTTCGTGGCAGTTTTGCTCGGCTGCACTTTAGAGTGATCTGTCCACAATGGCTGAGTATTCGTCTATTCTGCACGCAACATGGACTCATTTGTCTGCGGCTTATCCTCAACTTCTGGGCTCCTGTCGCATTCTCCACCGCTTCCAATGATCTGACCGTTGACGCACCGTATATAAACGGCTGAAGGGAATACGCGAAATAGCTGAATTCCGTATATTCCCTTAAAGTGTTTCTTCTTGCTCTACTGAAACTTAGAAGAGAGATACTTGCATGAAGTCACACCATTCGTTTTTTCGCTCTACGAGTTATAGATGACCGACTGTTTATAGTCAGTCGAAGCATACGCAGGAGCGACAAATTGCGCTTGTCAACTTATTTGAACGTTCAAATTTGATTTGCCGTCTTGTGTGTACCCAAAGATTCAGGAAGTTGATAACTTTCACTTTTTCCAGCGAGAACGTTACGCACACCCTAAGTCTCTCAACTCGTTATGCTGTTATTGCTAGGGCAGGTGGATTTAAGCTAATATCGATAGCTTCTGAACCAGATGATCAAAACTTCATTGGAACACTAATTTTGCACACACTTTTCGGGGTCGTCACATTTCAATTCCATGAGAGTGAAGAATGAGAATCTATGCCATCTGGCAGTCGAATTGGCATAGTGCAGACGAGTGTCACGTTCGAATTCTGTACGCCGTTAGCACTAGTTGGTAAGTTTGCGGCAGTCTCCAACTAATGCACGTGGATAAAAGAGCTTAAGGAAACTCACTGGAGACCGGAGCGGATGATCTCCGGCTTCCCGTTTCAATAGAGATTTTGCTCATGACCACCCATAGCCTAATCCACTAGATGTAACGGGATAAACCAGAGTTTACCTAGAGGATTAGGAGAATCCCTAACTCAATGATAGTGTGGCCCACAAGGCGGTGAGGAAGTTAGTTCTTTAATTGGACTGAGCACCTTTCCGCACAACTCAGCGCAGTGAATATTCATCTATACTGCATGTGACATGGATGCATTTGTTTGCGGCTTATTTTCAACTTTTGGGCTACTGTCGCGTTCTCGACCGCTTCCAGTGATGTGACCGTTGACGCATTTTTAAGTGATAGTGGTGGACTGCCTCCCAACTTGACTCTTTGGCTCTTACGACCCGCGCGCCACATTCACTTAGCATCCATTACCCCCTGTCTTCTCAACTTTCTTGCCTTATCTACTCAACTGCGTTTCTCCTAACCCGCACCATTCGGATGCTTATCATTGTTTCTCGTTTTGATTTTGTAGAGCGACGCATCTGCATGGGCAACAGCGGCCGCTGCGGTCGATCCATTCGCTTCCTTTTACTACACTGCTGCTGCCGCTTCTGGAACCGTACCGAGTTCCGTTGCAGCGTCAAGTTCCACTTAGTCACAAAGCAATACAACGTTTTATCCATTCATTCGCATTTCTTATCTTTTTACTGTTTCACACACTTTTTTGCATACGAAACGAATTCGTTTTCATTGCGTCTCTATTGGTGAACTTCATAAAGCCTGGTTTTGAACACCCACTGGCTTTGTTACTTCCTACCACGCTTTACAGTCAGTTTCCAATAGCACTATTTTTTGGCAGTCGTACTGTTTGTTCCCAAGTCACCAATCTACCTGGCATTATCAGTGCGTTATGTGCGCGAGCGTGACCTTTCGCTAGTCAATATACATACCAATACTTCAAAAACCAGTGGTCATTCTTTCGAGTGGATGCCTCGTAAAATCCTTCGAAAAATTTTCAACCACCCCAAACGTACAAGCTTACTTTATCTCCACCCAGATACAGATTCATATCGTCCACTGCGTCGGATTCGTTTCTCGTGTCACATTTAATCAGGTCACTGGAATCTGTTCGTAAACAAAGTTTGATAGGACACTTATCTCGTTTTGTTAATCCGTAGTAAGATAACTAACCCAACGAAACACTGGCTTCTTGGTACTCTTCTGCTTACTCATTAGTCAAAATGTGAGCGACATGAGCTTTCCAACTGTGCAGATCATTGTTCTCATAGTTTGCAACTGGAACTCAATGGTTGTGTTGCCGCTGCTTCTATAACTACGGACACACTAGCTACTGTTTGTTTCCCGACTTGATGAGACATTTCTCTGGATCAGAAGTCAGTGTAAGCGAACATGTGTTTTCGATAATTCCTCATCATGCTTCTACAGTTATATACAAATAAAAACGAAATGGGTAGACAGACATTACTAGTCGTTAGTCCGGGGTCGAGTTAAATACTAACAATGGCTGTCCGTTAGGTTACGATAATTGACCTCGCGAGTCAGAGGTCGTCTGGCGTTTGGGCCAGGGTAGTCCCAACCCTCTAGTTAGCTTCTGGATACACAGCTCCGGGTCATCTAGTCGAATAGCAATTGCCTCAGCAGATTCTAGTACTCTTTTATGCATGTAATTCGATCGGTTCGCGTGGGCCTGATAGGAAATTTTGAGAGTCAGCTGATTTAGTGGCATGCCCTGTGTCAACGAGGTGCACGGATATTGAGGAGCTGACTGGTTTTCTGTTTCCAGTTCCATGCCAGGCCAGGTGGTGTTCCTTCACTCGCTCGGATAGACACCTTGTTGCACGACCAATGTATTCTGCTCCACAGGAGCACGAAAAGGAATAAATACACATTGAATTGATGTGGACAGGCCTCTTATCCTTTGGGTTCAGTTTCATTATCGGAGTGCTGGTGAACTGGATTTGCATTCTTGCTGCAGGGTAGGTACGTCTGAGTGCACGCGAAAGACGACGAAATAGAAGTACCGTCGTAACTTTGCCCATGTATGTCAACTGTAGGAGGATCGGCTTACGTTCTACTGTCACCACTACGGGCTGTGTGCGCTTCTGTTGCATGTTGGCTCCAATGAAACTTTCGGGGTAACCATTCTCCCTCAGCACCAAGCAAATACACTCCAATTCCTCGGGAAACGTATTCTGAGCACATTTTCTCAGCTCGGCTCACTAGATCAGATTCCGCTTAAACCTTAAAGGCACAAAGCTGTAGAAATTTGTGTACTGTCCAGTCCATGGGCATTTCCTATACACGCGAAGTTGCAGCGCACCTCCATCAAGTCTTCTCAGAGCGACGTCTAGGAAATGAAAGAGGTTGTTTTCCTCCACTACGTAGGTCAACTTTATCGCTAGGTGGAACTGGTTGAAGGTGTTTGTTAGCTCATCAATACTTTGCGACGCCTAAAGTAATACAAAGATGTCATCCACATACCGGCAATATAGACTGAGGTCTACGACTGTTGATTTTTACAGGCCGTGTTCCAGCATACCCAAGAAAACATCGGCAATGAAGGGTCTAAGTAGGGAACCCATCGCACTGCCGGTATATTTCGCCATTGAAGAGGAATTGAATATTAAATGTACATCTGAGTAATAATTCCTTTAGGATCACATTGGGCATGCCCACACTAATGTGATGTGCATCAACATACAAGCAGTGGCACGTTGATGAACAATGAAGCAACATCCAGCCAGCACATGGTTAGATTGGTGAAGTTTACATCCCGTATGGTGTCGGCGAATTCAAGGCTATCTCAGACTGTGCACAGCAATTCGCTTTCGAATGGGTGCGAGAACCGCAACTAGCCACCGAGCGATCGAGTGGTACGGTGAGCTTTTCATGTCCATAGAGTCTTGGAATCACCGTGCCTATTGGTCGAAGCTGTTCACAAGCGGCATCGTTAATAGAACCATCATTTCTAAGCTTTTTGAGAGTGTTGCAAAGTTGAGTTTCAATCTGCTTTGTTTTGTCTCTCTAATCTGTGGTCTTCAAAAACTTAGTTTCATCAACCAGTATTTCATTCATGTTGCTCACATAGTCCACTCTGTTCATGAAAACAATGCCCACGCCCTTACCTGGTCAAGAAAGTGCAAAGTCATGGTTGATGACTAGATTATTTAGAGCTTCAGGTGTTGCTGTCTCACTGAGGTGTTGTGTGTTAGCCTCGCACGTCGATATTCGTACCAGGTATGCAATAGAAACGATTAGAACTCATCCACATGCATTTCAGAAGAATGGATCAGTTGGGTGGTCTGCGTGTACACATCTTCGAACTGGCTTTCTATTGCTAGTCTATTATCCTTTCTAGTAGGGAGGCAGAATTTCGGGCCCAGTGATAATCCATCGCAATACGGTCAAGCGTCAGGTAGGCCAAATTTTTAACATACCTTTCTGGATAGACTGGGAAAACTGTTGTAGGCTTCCCTTTTAATGTCTTTGTGAGCCGATGGCGTAATTTGGATTCCTGCTTTACACTAATCTCCTTTATCATCTTCTCTAGCTCTGAGCGGTCACTTGTTGAAAGACTTTCCAGAGCATAAGTTGACTGAATCAGGGCACGTTTGAACTCCTCTCTCTTGGTGCGAGTGCTATCTATCTGGTTCAGTGCTAAGCGCTTAAGACAATTGCTATCCGGTGTGACACGTGAACGACGAAGAGATTTCCAATAGCTCGCAGGATATATGTTGCTGTCTATACGCTTATCGAGAAAATCTAGACATATATTCGTCTCCGCAATCCTGGTTCTGTTGAGCGGCTTTACATTTTTACATATTTGAAAAACCCCATAGCAAGATCATAAGTCAGCGTAAACGAACATGTCTTTTCGATAATTTCCGACCATAGAAATTTTTAACATTGGTAACCACGCGTCTTGGAAGGCTTGCGGATTGCCGTCTTACAAAGATTTGGGGGAAGAGGATGAAATATTCTCATTACCAAATAATTGATATTGGCCACCGATTTTACAGTAGTGCAGCCACCTTTTGGTTCGAATTGCCAAACAGACGCATACGTATGGACTACAGAATGCTTGACGTTCACGATTTTAGTAGCATTTTGCAAATTTCTCCAACCATAATGCTTAATAATTTGCGAGAATTTTACAGTTCCGATGTGTTTGACAGTGGTTTTGAAGATTGTAATTACAAGCTGAAGACTAACGGAGAATATTGTTAGCAAACGAGAATGACAACGGAACTAATTCTGAGAAGATGGGTAATCTATCAGATCCCATGGTCTCTCGCTTGGCAATTTCTCTCGCTCTACTCTCCGTCATTCGGGCTTGCACAAATAGTCGGAGTGATGCTTTGGGACTGGTCTGTTGTGTGTAGGGAAGTCGTTACCAGAGCAGACTTCTGGCCTAGTTCCGCTATCGCAGGCCTCTTTGTTAGAACTACCAAAAGCGTTTGGTGTAGTCCCATCATAAGGGTTATTCGCTGTCCGTCGAACACAGAATCATCCACACCCCTCAGAGGAATTGTTGCTTATTATTGCGGTCAGCGAATACTTGAAAACGAATTCTCCCGAAGCCAGTCACATCTGCTATCGGCGTAAACTGTTGCATATGAATCGAATCGTCTAAGTATGCTCATCTTGACGATAGATTTATAGCTTGGACAGATGTCATTAAAGGGCTTATGTATGATCTGAGAGCACTCTATATGTGATTACGGTTTGTAAAATAAAGTTGGAAAAAGTGGTAAAGATAGACATATCTAGATCAGAGCACAATGTCGGAAGTAGTGTATGTCACCAGTCGGAGCTCGACACCCTACACTAACGGTCGTGTTTAGCTAATTTTCGTGGGAGTGATGTTCCAACATGCCACACAGAGTTAGAGTTAGTATGGACTGTACAGTTAATCCCAGAAGTCTTGTGCCTTTTTACTCCGTTACTTGGGGACCAAGGGTCACGCCTTCGGGTGAGAGAAGAGCGCACTAAATTGCCAACTGTCACATAGTAGATGTTGGTCTTTTTCAAAATGTCCCTCACCCGCTCACATGGATGTGAACGACCGGAGTGATGGCCGTATGCCTGCATCTGGGTACAGGTGTACTTACCAGTCTCGTCCATCGTGAAAACGCTGGATGGGCACGGATCGTTGAGTTTCAGTCAACGTACGGCACGCCACAAGGCAAGTTCACCGATCCATACGTACCGTGTTTCGGGCTGGTTGGAGCAAACACGCGTGCAAAAGCAAGACAACAGTGCATCGGTACCTGGCTACTGCGGTATAATTGTGATTGCGCTTGGACAGGCCTAACTGGCCGGAGCAAGGAGTGTTCAATAGGTGCTTATTGTTGTCCCAGCTACTGACAAAAGGGTTATTGACAACGCTCTTGTTGACTGAAAGTTACCTTCCAACAACACACCTTTGCAAAAGTGGTATTCCTTTCAATCACGCCTTGCACATATGAAATGTGACGTTTTGAGAAAGGAGTCATGAAAAGCTATTCCGCCTAAAGACTACTCGCTGCCGCATAGTCTATTCTCCCGTCACAGTCTTGATCGCAATTGCAGGAAACAAGTGGGGTTCCACTGTCCAATTTGTTTCAGAGTGACCTTGAGGGGACAGAAAATTGTCTTCACTGCCGCACATGAGCGTTCATTCTAACGTATTCACTGAAGAGGCAATATTCCATTAGCATGCAACTGAGAAGCTGCATTTCTAGGCAATATCTGACCCTCTCGATACTGTGATTCACGTATTCCACCAAGCGCGAAGTTCATTGGCTCGCAACACTGATTGACAAATTGTGAGACCACTGCACACGTATGTGGGTGCTCACGCATACTGTCCACCATAAGCCAGTTATCCCTGTGGTAACTTTCTTGACACTGCTGCAAACTCCGAACAAAAAATTAAAAAGGATCGATAAGCCACGCTTTCACGGTCTGTATTCTTATTGAAAAATTGTGGGATAATCTTTCTTTCCCTTTTATG